ACATTAGTTAGCTTCTTATAGTTTTTTTTTTCCCTTTTTAACATTTTTTAAACTTCCAGTTTGTCCTGTCTGTAGCTGTGTTTACAAGGATATAAGTAATTGGAATAAATGGCCAATCAGAATAAAAAATGTGTCATGTACCCAATTGGAARATTCTGATCTGATTCATCTTGATCGGAATGAATTAATAATCCAAAGGAGAGGGTTGGTTTATGCTGATTTATAATCTAAACGACGTGCATGTAAACACTTATTCTGATCATGTTTGGGGGAAACTGACCTGACTGCACTATGTCAACCTGACAAATTTACACCTGGCTAGATGCTAATATATTGAGGAAGCAAAATTAGTTGGTTGGCGATACAACATTTCAATTAGAAACTTAGAAAGAGCTCAAAATTACTGAACACCTTGATGGTTGAAAGTGCAGGAACACTGGGTGCAGTAAAGTCTCCAGTTATTAAAACCTGGCCTGGGTCCATTCTGGGCGCTCAGAAGACACATATGATTGTTTATGTTCATCACGGATGTAGAACTTCTGTGCTTTTTATGGAAAGTTTACATCTCTGCGCATGTCAGTACTTCTACTCTGAATAAACAAACGCTTGTCATGATTGTGAAAGAAAATACTGTTATGCATGTTCGTTACCAGGATGTGTGCTTAACCATAYGGAGAATACACAAATGCATGGAAAAGATTATTAAAGARAAACCACACAAAATCAAAGAGCGCTCTTTGCTGAAGTCTGGTTTAATCAAGTGACCGAGAGTTCAGACCGAAAGTCAGGAAGTAAAATTGGTTTTAACAAAAGCTCCGAGGCGTGGCTCCGCCTGTTTGATTACGTCATCATTGAGGGGTCCCTGCTCGAAGCCACGCCTCCAGACATAATAATCTATAATAATAATGCTTTTAAAAGTTCAGTTATGTGTTGAATTTGTTTTCAGGCATGTAGCTATTAATATAAAAATCATCAAGTTAAGCAAAACAGTCACATTTAACAGTCATTACAGTTCTATCATTAAACTATACTATGTAAATGTAATTTAAATCAGTTATATAAACCTAAACCCTAATAATTTTTTCAGTTGGATTAATTAATTTTGTTTCCATGTAAACGACACAATGGGATTATTTAGTCTGAATACATTTCAATCAAAACAATTTGTGAATGAAAACGTAGCTCCTGCTTCCTTTTCTACCTCCTCTTCCTCTCTTACGCTTTCCTGCTGTCCCTTCAGTCTTTTACACCAGATAGCTACATCCTTCATGCCTGCGGGACCCCTCTCCACCTAGAGTAGATTAGATTGCTACATGCTGCAGTATCTGCTCTCGTCTCTGTAGAGGTATCCACATTGTTCTGCAGTTCACTGCCAGCATCTATAAATCCAATTTGTTCGTGTGTGTGTGTGTTAACCGTATGTGTGCGCTTGTATGTGTTAAGTTGCGTGTGTACAGCAGCATTATTTCACACCACGTGTATCAGTGCTATCCAACTGTTTTCCTTGCACCTGCTTGTACAAGAATGCATGCATTATAGGTCCTTTATACACTGGCGCTTGTATTACTGCACACAGGCAGACTTTTAATTACTTGGTGATAGCTCTGGATCTAGCTGGCTGTCAGTGTTGATAAGGCCGGGGGTTGGGAAGCATTAGTTGGGTTCTGCTGCTCGTCTTGCCTCCGCCTGGTGGATCTGCTGAGAGGGAGCAGAACCATTAGACACGCTGCAGTGAATACAGAGAGAAGGAGTGGGAGGGTGGAGATGTATGATGAGAAAGCCTGAGATGGAAAAAGAGCAATGAATGAAGAATGGGGGTGGGGGTCAGGCGTGTGTGTGTGTGTGTGTGTGTG